CAACAGTCTGTAGAATCCCCTCACTGATTACACTGTAAGTGATAATCCACCTTAACCAAAATCAAAGTAGACTATCACTCACCCACACCAGATGGAAAACTCTACAGACTGTCGGTTCATATATATATATATATCGTCACAAACAGAATATATATATATATATATATCTTTGTGACGATATATATATATATATGTGTGTGTGTATATTTATATATATATATTGTCACACTAGAAATTGGAGCGCAAAGGCGGAAAAAGACAAAACAAGAAAAAGAAAAGGAAGGAAGGAAGGAAAGCCCCACCTGTTCGTCACCTCTTACGTACAAGGCCAGCCACGTGGATGACAGGTTGAGCGCTGGCTGCCCCCTATATATATTCTGTTTGTGACGATATATCGTCAAATAGAACTGCCCGGTAAACCGTAGGCAGAGAGGGAGAAGAGGACAACGATATATATATATGTGTATATATTTATATTGTATATATTTATATATATCATATATCGTCAAATAGAACTGCCCGGTAAACCGTAGGCAGAGAGGGAGAAGAGGACAACAAACGAGGGGCTGTGACAAACTGTTTCGTCGGAGTTTCACCGACTCATCAGGAGGCTGAACCCTCATATATGTATATGTGGGCGGCCTTGTACGCAAGAGGTTCTGAAAAAAGAAAAAAAGAAAAAAAAAAGAAGGTTCTGAACAGGGGAAGTTTAAGGAAGAAGATAAAGAAAATGATTTCATTTTTCTTGTTTTCTTTATGTTTTTCTTCGCTTTTGCGCTCTGATATCTTGTGACAATATATATATCCCAGAAGGTTAAAAAAAAACGTCACCTACAAAAATTAGATTAAAAGCGGTTGAAAAATAAAAATAAAAATAAAATTCAAATTCTACCTAGGCTACCAGCCGTGGCCGCCCGGGTCACCGTGCTTTCCGGGCGGCACGGCCGTACTACGTTATGCAGAAAAATAAACTGAACAACTTTTGCCCCACGACCACATCGAAATTCTTTACCAAATGTAAATAGTTTTAAAAAAAAATGATTTTTTTTATTTTTTATTTTTGGCCCGGCCGGGCAAGTGGTCCCGGGTGATAGCCCAAAATTATACTCATATCGCGTGGCACAGGCGGCAGAGTAGCATACCATCATCGTCATCATCTTCTCTTTTTTTTCTTTTCTTTTTCCCCCCCCTCCATTTACCATTCTTCTCTTCTTTCTTTTTTTCCAAGCGACGCTTAAAAAAAAAAAAAAAAAAAAGAAAGCAACGCTTGATCCGATTTCCAGCACGCGGAGGTGCTGCTCCCCTTCGAGGGTTGCCGGTACCCACCCCCCTTTTAAAGTGTCTTTTTTTTTTTTTGCTTTTTTTTTTGAAGCGACGCTGTTTGCAAGAAAAAAAAAAAGGAAAAAAAAAAACATATCATCATCATTCAGGCCAACAAGTAATTGTCGAGAGCTGAGAACGGCGGGTTAAATTAAAAAAGAAAAAAACTAGAGAAAGATATTCGGAACCAATTTCCTTCTTACCCTCCTGGCTCGGGAAAAAAAAAAAAAAAAAAAAAAAAAGATATGAAAAAGCTTTCAACCGACAACCGACAACCGACAATAGCATGATGAAGGGGCGCACCTTTACAGCTAAAACAAATATTACGAAGCGGCGGTGCACCGTTAGAGGTAAAACAAATTTACAAAGAAGTCCGAGGAAGTCGCAAAGAAATACCAAGAAGTCCGAACAAGAATAAATAGGAGGAGGAGGAGGAGGAGGAGGAGGACAAAGACGGAAAAGAGGGAGGGAGGAGGAGGAGGAGGAGGAGGACAAAGACGAAAACGAGGGAGGAGGGAGGAGGAGGAGGAGGAGGAGGACAGAGACGGAAAAGAGGGAGGGAGGAGGAGGAAGAGGACAAGAGAAAAAGAAGGCGGAGGAGGAGGAGGAGGAGGAGGAGAAAGACGAAAAAGAAGGGAGGAAGACGACAAAGGGGAAGGAGGAGGAGGAGGAGGAGGAGGAGGAGGAGGAGGAGGAGAGGGAAGAGGAAGAGGACACAAGAAAAAGAAGGCGAAGGAGGAGGAGGAGGAGGAGGAGGAGAAAGACGAAAAAGGAGGAAGAGGACAAAGGGGAAGGAGGAAGAGGAGAGGGAAGAGGAAGAGGACGAAGAAGAAGAAGAAGAAGAAGAAGAAGAAGAAGCAGAAGCAGAAGCAGAAGCAGAAGCAGAAGAAGAAGAAGAGGCAGAAGAAGAAGAAGGAGGACGGGGAGGGGGCAGAAGCAGAAGAAGAAGAAGAGGCAGAAGAAGAAGAAGAAGGAGGAGGACGAGGAGGGGGAGGAGGATGAGGACAAAAAAGGAGAAGAAGAAGAAGAAGAAGAAGGATAAACAGAGAGATGTCACATCCAGCAGTGAATCGTGCTCTGTATCTATGCGCTACTGTTGGCAGCAACCAACGCAGACGACAGCTGCGCGCGCAAATGCCACCGCCCATACTTTTTCCGTCATCCTACTTCGCTGTGTTTTTTTTGAAGAGGCTGGACCTCAAACCTAGATTTTGAATTGGGTAAAAGAGCCCTTGATCCGATCACCTCTTCTCTCATTCCGAAGGGGTAAGGGAGGCGAAAGGGAGGGGTGAAGGAGATGGCGGGGTGGTTGGGGGGGTAGAACACGACCTTGTTGGGTTTAGCAGGCAGCTGGATGAGGCTCGCGTGGAGGGTTTAAGACCAGCATGAACAGAGAGCAGCAAATGGGCCAGATGGGACATGACCCACCCACGGCTTCCGATAGGAAACAGTAATGGAGCGAAAGGGGGAGGGGGGAGGGAGAGAGAAGAGAGAGAAGGGGAGAAGAGGGATTGTTTAACTCTAGTTGCGAACGTATATATAGAGAGAGAGAGAAAGAGAGAAGAGGGGAAGAGGATGACTCGTTTCAACTGCAGGTGCAAAGATATAGCCCAGACAGGTTTTGAGGTAGCTTCTTTTTTCTAGCGATATTCCCTTCCCCCCTGGCCCCCTGCGCCCCCCCCCATCGTCCTTTCCCTCCGAACCAAATTACCTCTCGCTAAAAGAGCTACAGTAGGCAGCCAGTGCAGCTGATGAGCTCTATCTAAATTAGGGTTCAACTTGGTATTGGGGATGTAAGCAGAATTCGGCGAGTTCTTTGTAGAACGAGGAAGCAGAGGAAGCTCAAGACGTTGTTGACGTCAAAAGCAGGTTAGCAAGGGGGAGAGGGGGGGGGGTAAAGGAGGTTGGGGGGGGGGGGGAAGGAGCACGTATCCTAGCCGAAGTCTCTGAGGAGGAGGAGGAGGAGGTGGTGGAGGAGGTGGAGGAGGAGGTTGGCCAAGACACAATTGGTCCAGGTACGGATTTGGGTCCTGATGCTGGTCCAGGTTCATTCGGTATCGCCAGTGACACAGATGGTGTTGTATAATAGCTTAAACCCCCAGCCGTGCTAGGGCGTGGGCCAGCAGCTTTCCATTCGTGGCTCGAGGAAGGGAGAGAAGAAACAGGGGAGGAGGACACAGACAAAGAGGAGGAAGGGGAGGAGGAGGAGGAAGAGGAGGAGGGAGAGGGAGAGGATAGAGAGACTGGCGCTGAGGATCCCTCTACAAGACCAGAGATTGGTGAAGAAGCCTCGGTCAATTCTGACTCTGGAATCATCTCGAACGTCGTCTTTCCTAGCCTCGTTAACGGCCAATAACGAAGCACAGACCGACCGATGATATTCTTCTCCTCTAGTGGTCCCCACAAATGAGAGTCGTAGCTGTTATTTCTGTTGTCGCCCAACACAAACACAAATCCCGGTGGAATGTAGGTTTGACCTAATTCGTAAGCAGGGGGCTCGGCAATGAAAGGCTCAAACTCCCGCGCAATCCCATTAACGATGACGTGGCCGTCGTGAATCTCCACGGTGTCCCCGCCTTTAGCGATTATCCTCTTGATAAATACTTCGGCGGAGCTGTAGCCCTTGTCGAGGAGGACACGTGGCGCCTTGAAAATGACGATGTCATTGACTTCTGGTTTCCTAAAATAGTAAGACACTTTCTCGGCGATGATCCGATCACCTACCTCGAAGGTGGGATACATAGAGAGAGAGGGGATGAACCTGGGCTCGGCAATGAACCATCGAAAGAGGAGAGAGAGGCCGAAGGCAACGAGGACGGTTTTCACATCCTCCGACGAGAGATTCAGCCAACTAGGAACCCAATCTGCCGACGTGGCAGAAGAAGAGTGGTTGAAGTTGTTGTTCTCCCTATCGCCTCCACTTCCACCTCCCTCTCCCGCTCTCCCGTTTCCTCCTCCGTTGATTCGCATCTTTTCCGCCGCCGCCGAATTAGCACTCCGTGTTCGCGCGGAATCGCCGCCGGCGGCGGAGGCGGCGGAGGCAGCGGCTCGATCCGACGACGTGGCAGACGAGGAGGACGTTGCAGTTGGGGAATCGGATGACGTGGACACGGTTCCTGCGACTTCCCCTCCCTCTCCTACGGCCTTCCTCTGCATCTCCCTCGGTCTCCGCGCTCGCCTCCGCTCTTCCCCCCCTCCCTCTCCCGGTCCCCCCCCACCACCGCCGCCCAACTCCCCTCCTCCCCCACTCGCTCCACCATCCGCTCGCACTACACACCACTCCGCGCCTAGCCCCTTGCTTCTCTTGACAAATCCGATTTGTCCCCCACCGCGGCACCACCCTCCTCCTCCTCCTCCTCCTCCGCCGCCGCCGCCGCCCCCCCCTTGGGTGGTGGTCCCCCTCCCCCATCTAATGCTTGTCACCAGCCCGACGCGATCCCGACCCGATGCCACGTGTCTGCAAGCGCCACTCGTCGCGACCACGCAGCGCTTTTGCTCGTCCTTAATGTACATGATGACCTGATAAGGGGAGCAAACGGCGCGCTTACGTGGGCTTGATGTAACGGAAGGCAAGGGAGAGAAGGAGGAGGAGGAGGAGGAGGAAGAGAAGGAGCGAGCCTCGCGGGAAAAATCCCTCGCAAGCACGCATCTCAGAGATAGGCAATTCATATCCCAATCCGCACAGGAAGCCCTCGCCTTGTGACACGTGGCGGACGCTGCAGCCATCACCATGACCATTCTTTCAGCACGAATGCCACGGCTACTCGACGTCGAAGATGGAGAAGATGACTCAGGGGATGAAGACCTGAGGAAGGATTTGCTTCCCGTGGCTGCTGCGCGCTGTGTCGGGATCCTCACCTTGGTGCCGCTGTAACAATGACAGCAAACCGCCCCTTGAGCGAGCGCCATCCTCGAAAGTCACCCCAATTGGAAGAGGCAGTGGAGATTCGGCCACGTGTTTATCGGAAGAGGTAGTGCCGACACGATCAACAATCCAAAACTTTACTGACAGGGCCTACTGATTGATTGCTTGATGAATGATTGATTGAAATATTGATTGGGTTGATTGGATGGCCGACTAATTTTTTGATTTGCGTATTCAATCATTGACCCCTTCGCCGATCGGTGGTTGAGCGCCTGGATGACTGTTTGGTTCTGAAAGAGGACATCCCAACACCTCTCTCTCTCTCTCTCTCTCTCTCTCTCTCACGTCATCTCCATAGGCACGCACAGGGGGAGACACCTACACGCACGTGCACAGACGCAGCGCGCGGGAAAACTTTTAAGCTATGGCAACAGACAACGAGGATGATCTGCAGACAGCTCTTTACTCTGATGGACTGGTCAAATTGCCACGTGTTGCCACGTGGCATTGGTAGACCGAGAAGATCTGGTTATCCAGATCGAGCGGGAAGGACAGATGCAGTGATGCATTGACTACAAGGATCTTAGCCGCGGCCAATGGCGTGGAGCCGTGCTCGATATGTCGAGGCGATGGGCATGTCGATGACCGACGACACGATATCGATGATGACGTGGAGCGCTGACGCGGAGCACTGCTGGGACGTCGTCCTACTACAGCGCCCCGCCCACGTGCCTGAGCACGGCTTGGCAGTCAGCCGTTATCCCCCTGCGTGCGTGAGGATAGGACGTCGCTCCCCCCCCTCCCCACCCCCACGACTTGCCCCTAGTCGAAATCGAAATCGAAGCTCAATCCATTCCCCGGGGGTAGACCTATGCCATTACTGAACAAATCTTCCCGTCATCGGGAATCGAACACGTCAGCTGTTTACCAACGGTTATATTTGCGCTAACATCCACGCGGGGCAAGGTCCCACCTGGGCAAATTAGGAGATTTCGGCCGTTGATCTTTCCGATCTACGGTCAATATCTCTTAAATCGTGCAAGTGGGACCTAGCCCCCGGCCACAGCCGGCCACGTGCACTGGATGTTCTTCTTCCACCCTTTCGCGTCTCACGGAGCTCTCAACAACAGCGTGCCTGTCCAAGGGCGGCTTCGTCACACGGCACACGAAGCGAAAAAACGAAACGAGTGCATCTGCCCACGAAAGGTGGACAAATACAGTCGTTACTATTTATAGCAAACCGAAGAACCTGGCTATTTTCTGCCAGAAGATGCACTCGTTTCGTTTTTCGTTTCGTGTGCCGTGAGGTGACGCCCCAAGGCGGCGCCTTGGCTCGCCGCTGGTGCATAATCAGGCTCGGAACGCGCCGGCGCTATGTCCGTGCTAAACAAAAAAAAAAAAAAAAAAAAGGTCCGTGCTAAGGGGCTGATCCGATACGGTACGTTGGGCCTCGCTCCACTACTGTCCGCTCTACGAATTTGTGGACAGTTCACGGACAGCCGTCTTAACCCGAGAACAACGTACGTACGTTGTACAACGAATATTGGGGTACAACTTTTCCAGGGCAAAGATACGAAAATTTTTAAAAATTAGTAAAAGAAAAAATATGAAAAATAAGAAAAATGAAAGAGGGGGAGCATGGTATCTGGCGTGTCGGGAGGTCCCCGTTGAACACTGTCGGGGCCAGACTTTGCAAGGAGGACTGGATTTCCCACCTACGAATACAAACTTAAAACAGAAAGTATGTGGCGCAACACTCAGTCCACATACAGAAGTAAGTGGAGATGTTATTTTTTCTTGTAGCCCGCTTTTTTTTTCTTTTTCTTTTTCTTCTATGTAATCTACAGCCTCTTCTTTTTTTTTCTTTTTCTTTTTCCTTGTACGGTACGTTGTATTCGAGGGTACGTTCTATTCGAAAAAAACGGCGCGATTTCTCAGAGGCCATTTTTCAGAGGTAAGTTGAATACAACGTACGTTTCGGGTTAAGAGGGTAGTTGCACTACTCGCCATCCGCCAAGAATTCGAATGCATCTGGACAAAGACGATGTCCACATGCAATCAGGATGTTGGCGGATGGCGAGTAGTGCAACGAGGCCCTCAGAGAGTTCAAAATCAACATGGGGGAAAACGCGGCATCGCTCCATGCAGGGCCTCGCCACACCACTGTAGAAATGGAAAAAGTACAAAAGTGCATCTGCCTCAGAAAGTGATCAGATGCATCTGTTGCTATTCATAGTAATGGATGCACCTGGTCAACACGCCACCGGACCATGCACTTGTACTTTTTCCGATTGGACAGTGGTGTGGCGAGGCCCTTAGGCTTGGACCCCACTGCCCGGTGGGTGGAAACAGATGTTGGCCACAAAATATGGCCAAGCGTGTTTGGAAAGAACTTGCCGTGCTTTGTTGGGACCCCACCGCCACCCTGGACTCTCGGCACTGGAAACAGCAGAGCATACCCGAATAGGAAATCTCCCTGGGGTGTTTCCCGAAAAGGCAAGTCGCGCAAGGGCTGTGGTCCATGGCCTTTTATCGCCCTGCACCAGGACGTGTCCGTGTGTGGCCATGCGCGATGGCAAAAACATGAGCATGTCCGCGGTGGCCTCCCGGTCCAAAAAACGGTCCCGGACGAGGGTGCGTGGTCCATGCTGTCCAGCCGTCGTCTAGAAACGGATGGACATGCCCCCCCCCTTGCTCGTCTGGACGCCTCCTTGGAAAGGGAATGGAAAGCGGTCGGCGTTGAATTTCCAGACCGCCGACCGTGTAGAAACGCCCCGTCAGCATTTCCGTGACCTGCTTCCAAGCATGGTGGGGGCTGGAATTCCTTTCCAGGCCGAATTTCCACACCGGTTTCCAACACCGGTGGGGTCCGGAAAAAGCTACAGCGCCCAAACTTTTCCAGGCCGTCGGGCAGTGGGGGCCAAGCCTTACTGTCCTTTGTACACCTCTCAAATTCGTAAGTTCACTACCAGACGCAGTGATAGAACTACAAGATAGGGCGTCCATAGGGTTTTCTCCGCCCAGACTCTCCAGGTACACTCTCCAAATTTGGGTCCGCGTGGTGAGTTTCTTGAACTTTCCGCGAAACAAAGTTGGCAGGCTGGGAGTTGTAAACAACCATAAATTTGTTCATTTGATTTCTAAAAACTCGGTCCACGAGACTTCAAAAAGTTGCAGGTGCGTTCTTAAGGCCGGAGGGTATGACAATGAACTTGCACAACCCATAACGTGTTTTCAACGCAGTTCAAATTTTGTGATGCTCGGTAAGATTAACTTCAATCTGATGGTGACCAGATGTGAGGTTGAACTTGGAAAAAAACTTGCACCCACCTGTAGCATCCAAGAGGTCATCAATGTGAGGCAAAGGATGTGTTTTTTCTTGTGATTCGGTTCAGCCCATTATGACGAATTCATATATGCAGCTCTCCTTCTTTCATCGGAACAAAGAGAATGGGTGCACCGAATTCATATTCGCATGGTCTAATCCAACCCTAGTCAATCATGTCATCAATATGGTTTCATACTTCCTCCAACTCATCTGGCCTCATGCAGTAGACACAGCCTTTGGGGGAAACGCTACCTCTTACTAATTTGATTCGGTGTTTAACTGGATGTATGGCGACTGCATGCAGTTTGGCCAGAACCTTAGCAAACCGATCTAGAAGTTTGTAAATATTAATTGGGGTCTCTGGTAGAGGTGAATAAGAATCATATGAAGAAAAACCAAGTTGTGAGTTTGCAGCCAAAAAAACATCATCCAAAGTAAATGAAGTCGAATTTGAAGTAAATGTAAAAGATAAACAGTAGATAGAGTGGAAATAGATACATCATCAGCAGTAGTAGTGGCAAAAATTACAAAAGTAGAAGGCGCATGAGCACGTTTTACAAAGGCAATACACATTTGATCATTGTTTTCCCGCTTGTGCAATTTTCTGCAGAATTGCATTGCGTTAAGAAAAGTTGTCGGGGACTCGCGCATTTTATTCAAGAGGACAAAATGCTCGACTCTCATACCATTAAGCACCATGAAGCATGCTTTCTTCAAAATCGTTTTTTGGCATTAGGCCTCAAACCATCCTTAAGCAATTATCATTTTAAAAAGACAATCTTCGATGGTGTAAATGTTGAGAGTATGTACGATAGTACAGTCAGCTTCAAAGGTAATGCACATACCTTTGACAGCGTGTGTGGAGATGAAAATGCTTGGTTGTCAATCCTGTGTCTTTTAGGGGTTCTGCAACTCCACGTGTTTCATTCCCAAGCTCGCCTTATGCATATCGTGTGTGGAATAAAAATTTGCAGTTGCACCAAAATCAATCAACCCACAGATGTAAGCAGGGTCAATGTGGAGTTTGAAGAAGATTAACTTTATTACCTGTGTTAGTCCTCAGGAGGCCCGGTTGGGGCAAGGTCGCCCGACTACACTCCCGGGTTGTCCAGGTCGGGCAGGGTGTCAGGCGATCCTAGCGCATAATATTTAAAAAATCAAAAACATTTGAAAAAATATATATATGTAGTGTAAAATTGCAATTCAAATGACTTCTGGTCGAGGGTCACCTCGAAATTTTTGGTTAATTTTAAGATAAAATATAAATGAGAAAACATGAGTCCAAATGTACCCCCTTAACCCCTTTAGTCATTGTTTATACCCCCCCCCCCCCCCCATGGATGACCCATCACCGAAACCAGAGTTGGAACCTGAATCTGCCTACGTAGGCCAAGCACAGTCGTGGCCCGAAGTCCTTTTTTTTTGGGGGGGGGATCCTTGCCTCGTTTTTGACCCGTTTGGTTTTGTCGGGCGACCCCCCCTTTTCCCAACTGGCTTGGGCGTACCTGGCCGGGCGGCGGCCCAACATAGTTTATTACCCCTTCGCGCAGTTTTGGCTAAGCTTGATCTAGTGTTATTCGTGGTAGTGGAGGTCTACTTCTTGAGATTCTCCTAAGGTCTACTTCTTCATAGAGAACTTGAAAGAAGTCAGTCTTGGCATCAACATTAAAATGGGCCTCAAGGTCAGGTTGCTGATCAGATTTAGACTACTTAGAGGAACTTGCCTCCCTTGCGATAGAGAGTGCTGACAACTTTTCTACACCCATTGCTTGTTTCCCTACAAGTGAGAGAATTACTGTACAAAGTTTTTTTTTTTTTTTCACAATGCAAGCAGACTTGCTGATCCAGACATCTTGCCATGATTATGTGGAACCACCCTCTGGCTTGGTTGGGATCTTTGTCCCTATAGGAAGGTGAACTTGTGACTTCATTAAGCTGCCACATGGTCCCTTGCTTTTTCATTGTCATTTATTTTTTCATCTTCTAATTCTTTAGACTTCAAGGCTGAAGAAGAGTAGTCCTCATTGGGACCTACTTCTAGATCGTCACCTAGATTATAATCACCCGCATAGGACTGGTCCTCACCCTGCACCAGATCATGCACAACAAAGCATTTGTTGCCTCCATACCACCTGCAACGAAACGTCATCTTCGCTGCCAAATCGCGCTAGAGGTTCAAGGCCTCAAACTTTTTTTCTTCTCCTTGTCTTTTTTTTTTTCTTTTTTTTTTCCTCCTTCCTTTTTTTTCCCCTCTATCTATCCATTCATTCATTCATCCATCCATCCACGCATCTACTTACCCATCCACCCATTCATCCTTCCTTCCTTTCATTCATCTATCCATCCATCCATCAACGCACCCAGTTATCCATCCACCCATCCATCCTTC